TCTCTCTCTCTCTCTCTCTCTCCCTCCCTCTCTCCCTCTCCCCTCCCTCTCTCCCTCTCAGATATTTTTACTTCCTGATTTGTGAGGCAGTAAAAGAAAACAGGGTGAAGAATTGTTTCTATTCTTTCCATCTGGACTGGGTTTGGGGACAGGATCTGCCATTTTAAAATTTGGCCATGTAATTGAGTCTCAGCCAGGGCTGCTGAGGTCAAGGCCATATTTGCCATTCTGTACAAAAGAGTCAGTTCTGCTACTACCACCTGCTCCCCCGAACTCACCTGACACATCCACCGAGAGAGTGCTGTGGGAGGCACAGGGTGCTGGACTCAGAATTGTGGCCTAGGTTTATGGCCAACATACCGTCATAGTTGAGAGCAGGGGCTCTGGAGCTAGGCTACCCACGGTTTGAATCTAGGATTTCCCCACTCCCCCCACCCCGAATTTGAATCCTCATCAGCTATTGGACCTCTGTGTCTCCATGTCCTCTTCTGTAAAATGGGGATCATAATTATAGCCATCTCATAGGTTGTTGTGGTGATAAATTGAGTTAGCATTCATGATGAGCTGGTACAGTACAGGACATGCTTTATATAGTCAGTGCGGGGACTGAAGAATCGTGGGTAAATGATGTTAAACTGTGAGCTTAACAGCTTGTTTATCCTTCTGTTAGCTCAGTCTTCCAAGAAGGGATTAGATATGCAACACATGTATTGGGGAAAATACCTATGAGGGGACAATGGGAGGGGAGCTTCAGGAGGCTGGGGGTCTGACTCTGAGTCAAATAGAGACAGGGAAGAAAGAAGGGTGGGAGGACGCACTCTGGACTTTGCTACAGCTCTAAGAGAGTCTGCAAGCCTGTCGAGGTGCCCATTTCTCAGAGATCTCATGTCTCTGGGTCATGGTTATTTGCTGGCTGGGAGCAGCCCATGGGAAACCGGCTCTGATGTTGGCCTCTGGGCCTGCATCACATACAGGGAGCGTAGGTTGGAGGTGTGAGAGGCACATTCTCATGGCACCACACCCCTTCTTGAAGGGAACAATAACACCTGCCCTAAGATTGTCCTCAGTCAGTGTGGCTGAAAGGCTCTGAAAAGATGAAAGCATATTGGGCTTATGCCAGGAAGCTAGGTTGTGGGTGAGAACTTCTCTGAATTCTCAGAGGTGGCTGCAGCAGAGCCTTCTTTTCTGGGGAATCCCCCCAAGCTTGGGGTGAGGGTGACATGCTCCCTGTGGTGACAGTGGGGATCTGAGAAGTGCACAGGGGCATGCTGGGGTATAGACTGGGAATGACTGAGACCAAAAGGGAAGGTGGAACAGTGCCATCCTCGGTCCCCTGGGGAAACCATCTCCCAGTACAGCTCCCTAGTGTGGCTCCTGTTCAGGTCTGTCATGCTGCTTTGCAAAATAGGCCCTCACCCCTTGCCCTTTGCTGGCGGACAGCAAAGTCCAAGTGGTGGGAGCCATCCATAAGCTCAGTTGAGCAGTGAGGTGACCTCACAGTGGGAGAGGGCTCACCACCCGGGGCCCTGGCAGGCCTGGTCCCTGCCTCTTGCTGTGTTCTCTCAGCCTACTCTGTCTTCCTTCCAGGCTTGGGAATAACAACATCACTGCTGCTGGAGCCCAGGTGCTGGCACGAGGGCTCAAGGGCAACACCTCCCTGCAGTTCTTGGGGTAGGTTGGGTTCTGGGACACAGGGACCTTCAGGGAGGAGTTTGGGGGCTTCCAGGATTTAGGGGCAGGTGAACCTCTTCTGCTTGAAGACTCCAGAGGCAGCCCAGGCTCCAATGGGGAGAGTGAGCTGGAGAGAATGCAGGGTATGTGACTGCCTCTTCCCTTGCTTCTTCACTTCATAAACAGGAAGTTCAGGTGGGGGAGGGTGGAGCCCTGAGCTAGGGCCCTGAAACCCTCTGGTCCTTGGGGCTACTGAGGACTGGGTTTCAGCTTGGAACCAATTTGTGCTTCTAAGAGGCACCATTCCTGGGCCCACTCCAGACTGATGAAATGGAAATATGCATCCAGGTAAGGACCCCTAGGATAGAGGATGTGGGGAAGGCATGCGCCAGCGGCTCACACCTGTAATCCCAGCTACTCAGGAGGCAGAGATCAGGAGGAGTGAGGTTCCCAGCCAGCCCAAGCAAATAGTCTGCAAGACTCTATCTCGAAAAAACCCATCACAAAAAAGGGCTGGTGGAGTGGCTCAAGGTGTAGGCCCTGAGTTCAAGCCCCAGTACTGAAAAAAAAAAAAAAGAAGAAAGGACCTGGAAGGGACTGTCCTCGGTCCTTCAGAGCTAGTGCTTACTGTAGGACTGTGCCAGGCAATGAGAGAGAGGTCACAGGATCTGGGGTAGGGGTTGCCTCTGTTTGCTGGGCAGAGCATGTGCCTTCCTGCCCTCCTGCCCAAGTTTGTACCCATGCCGTCCCCAGCAGCCCCCTTCTACTATTCTGTGTGAACGAGGTTCCATTTGACAAGAGCTGTAGATTTTAAAACCCAAGACTGTAGAAAGAGGAAAGAACCTTAGGGCCCAGGAGCTCAACTCATTTCTCTGGCAGGTAGGTTGCCCACAAGCTGAGTGTAAGCCAGAAATAGGGCTGTGTGGCTTCAGAAATCCACACTGTCTTCAGTTTGCATTCAGAGCCACAGAGTCCTAGAACAAAGGAGACCCCAGCCCTACTAAGCTCTCTTTTGCTCAACATCTCATCTGCCACATCTGGGGTATTCACTTTTCTTTTATCAAACACTGTGCTAAAACCTCAAACACCTTAATATGACACAGACTTTTTTTTTTTTTTGATTCACAACATATTATGGGCATCTTTTCTGACAATTATGACCTCATTTTATGAAGAAGTGCTGCATAGTATTCCATAGCTTGGATGTCCTTTACTTAATTTTTACCTATTTATTTATGTCTATGTTGTTGCTAGGTTTTGTTTGTTTGTTTATTTTTTTATTTTATTTTTTGCTGCTTCAGTGTCCTATCCCCAGAGCACAGAGCAATGTTCACATATAGCCAGAACCCAATAAATACCTAATGAGTGAAAGTGCAGCGAACATGCCCATGCAGCTGTCATTCTCACTTGTGCTCATACATGCCCAGGGGTAAGGCCAGGGCAGAAAGTGTGAGCTGGGCACCACCTTTTCAAAAGGGATGTTTCCAAGGTAGGGAGGATGGCCCAGAAAGTGAAGGAGCTGGACCCCATGAAGGAACTGGGGGTATTAAGGAGCAAGAGATAAGGAGCTAGCTGTGCAAGAAGAGTTAGACTTGTTCTCCGTGGTCTCCAAGGCTAGTTATAGTTGCAGCTATCAGGAAGAAAATCTGAACTGTATGTTAGAAAAAAGACCACACTCGTGTGGATTGCTGAAGAGAGTGAGTTATTATCTGTTATCTCTGTTATTACGTCTGTGATTTAAAGCTGCTGAAAAGTTTTAGTGAAGTTTGGCCATCCCACCAAATAGATGACAGCAGATGCACTTAGCTGGAACCCAAGTGCTCCTGAGAGACCTTGCTGGTCTCTCTTGCACTGGGGCTGCAGAGAGCAGGAGGACATCAGTGCATATCTAAAACACCAGCAAGTGCTCACTTACACTCCGTGTACTCTGTTGCTTTTCTTAGGTTCTGGGGCAATAGTGTGGGTGACAAGGGTGCCCAGGCCCTGGCTGAAGCCTTGGCTGATCACCGGAGCTTGAGGTGGCTTAGGTAAGCTGCAAAGTCTGTCCTGCATTTGTCATTAGGGCAGGTCGGCTGGGTGCATTGGCTCACTCATGTAATACTAGCTACTCTGGAGCCCAAGATTGGGAGGATCCCAGTTCGAAGCTAACCCCAGGCAAAAAGCCAGCAAGACCCATCCTATCTCACTGAATAGCTGGGTGGAGTGGTACATGCTTGTCATCCCAGTTATGGCATGAAGTATAAATAAGAGTACCACAGCCAGGCTGGCCTGGGCAAAAATGAGATATCCTATTCCAAAAATAAAAAAAAAGTTCTGGGGGTGTGGTGCAAGTGGTAGAGTGTCTACTTAGCGAGCGTGAGGACCTGAGTTCAAACCCCGGTATCACTAAAAAAAAAAAAAAAAAAAAAAGTGGCTGGGGGGAGGGGAAGATCTTGGGTCAGTTTTGAAGGTCCTTGAATTTCATTTCTACTCCCCTGTGTTTAGGCAGTGGGGTAAGGAAGAAAGACCATTACATTTGGAGTCAGGAAACTTGAAACTTTCTGGATAACTTTGGAGATGACTTTCTCCTCTTAGAGTTCCCTACTGCAAATGGAAGAATTTAGGTGGAATCCATCATATTTTATCATAAGGACCAATTGCAACCGTTGGAAGCCGCTGCCCAGTGCACCATGTTGGGAAGGATTCTAAGGCTACTCCTGGGTGTAAGGAGCACTGTAATCAATTAGCGATGTCTGAAATGGGAGCACTCTACGAGAGTGGGGTTCTGCCTATCATAGGTTAGCTTATTTCTGAAGTCCTTCCCTGGCCCTGATACGTTTTTGTTCCATGATTATGTCCAGCCTGGTGGGGAACAACATTGGCAGTATGGGTGCCCAAGCCTTAGCAGTGATGTTGGAGAAGAACGTGTCACTAAAAGAGCTCTGGTGAGTGTGGGACTCCCCTGCTCCTGGGAGGCAGGGAATAGCCCTCCTGGCTTTCCTGGCCTTGTCCATGGGAGCAGCTTGTGGATGAGACAGAGATGGCTGGCTGAGCGATTGGTTGTTTTTGTCTTTTTGTGTACTAAGTCATATGAAGCTTATAGAGCCTGATGTCTAGTTGCTAATTCTTTTTATTTAATTATATTTACTGATTTGCTGGTTTGTTAACTGCCTGCACATGGCACAATGGTGAAGACCACAGACTTGGGAATCACATAAGCTGTGATCTGAGGCAAGTTACATAACAATCTCTGAATTTCAGGTTTCTCACCTGTAAAATGAGAATAAGAATGCTTCCAACTATAAAAGATGTTTGTAAGAGTTAAGTAAGGTGGTAATGTCTGTGAAGGGCTTAATGTAACCTGGCACACACATAAGTGTTCCATAAGTGTTAAATCATAATGGTGGTAAGGTGGCTGCTACTGCTGATGCTGCTATGACTACAATAACTACTACTACTAGGCCTGCCACTCCTGAAGAAGTTTTGTCACTTCATAGCAAGTTGAGTTCCTAAGAATACTGAGTATTAGAATCAGGGATCACCTTGGCAGATAAACAGAGTTTGGGGTCATTGAAAGATGAGCCATGAATTGTGCTTGTACTGTTGATCTAAAGCAGATTCCACATTTTCCACCTTTTAGATGCTGCTAACAGAATCTTCAGTTCCAGGGACATCTTTGCAGTTCCAGATATATCAGGGAGAGGAAATGCTGAATGTTTGATTTTTTTCAGGAAGGAGAAAAACACTGAAACACATAAGCATTATGGATGAGCCTTGGCTGTTGTCAGGGCTCATGATCTCTAAAGTACCGTACCATTGATTATATCCTGATTGGGTTTTGTCACTTGTCATTTCTTGATGGAGGAGCACCTCATGTGAGCATATCACTTATGATTACTGTTAAAACAATAACTTTAGACAAACTAAAATTAGCAGAGTTTGTTTGAGCACAGAAGATTGATGAACTGGACAGTACTCAGAACCAAGAGGGGTTCAGAGAGCTCCATCCAACAATGTGGGCAGTAGAACTTATAGATAGGAAAAGGAAGTAGCATTTAGAAATATCCTGATGGGTGAGAGTTCTGCATTTGCCTTATTTAGGTATAGTGTGATGAGATGGCACTCTGTGATTCGCTGCAGCCCAGCTGCTGTGATTGACTAAGACTCAGCTATTTGTTACGAGAATTTACTCTTTTGTTAGGTTGCAATTTGCTTACATACTGAACCAGGTTGCAGTTTGCTACATGGCACTCAAAGTATGGAAGCACTGTTAGGCCAAATTTAGTCTAATTTAACTCTACATGTGTATCAATGGCAATGTGTATGTTACTTGGCTGACACTGGCTAGACTACAATGTGGGAAATGCAATTTTTTTCCACTGAGCTCATGGCTGAGTAAAATGAGGTTAGCTCATTTTATGCCCATGGATAGCTGGGGCATGCAGGACTTACTGTGTAGAGCAGTATCCTGGAATAAGTTCTCCTGCAAAGGCGCCCCTGGGATTTAGAATATTCACTCTTACTTTATCTGTAAGTTTGGATTTGGGGGGTTAAGCATTACTGGTGTCATCTTCCACAGTGAATATTGTCATATTAGCTGGATTTTCTCTGCTTTTGCCAGCCTGGAGGAGAACCAGCTTCAGGATGAAGGTGTGTGTGCTCTTGCAGAAGGACTGAAGAGAAATTCAAGTTTGAGAGTCCTGAAGTAAGGACCCTGTAAGCAGGAGCTGGGGTGATAACGGGAGGGAGCGGGGGCTCTGAATGGATCAGGGCAGCTTTTCAGCCTAAGTTCTTGTGAGGTGCCTGGTGGAAAGCGGCTGGCATTCATCTGGGAGCAGTGCACCCTGACGCTATCTACCTGGGAGGTGTCCCAGGAAGCACTGAGGGGGAGAGTTGTGCAGGAGAAGGGATGGTCACCAGTAGAAGGTGAATATTGGATTAATTCTTACAAAAGGAAATTGGAGTCCAACACTTCTGAGGCCTCCAGGAACCACTGTGGTACATGCCTGGATACCATCTAACCAATTGACCGGGAATCAGGGGCCTTATCTCCAAGTGCCCATCCTTCCTGGAGTGAGGTGGGGCTGTGGGGACACTAACTCCCCATGATTCCAGCTACCCCCACAAAGAACTCAGGCAGAGAGTTGCATTCTGCCCAGCACAAAACCCTTAGAGAGGAGCAAGCAAGAGGGCATAAGGATGGGCAGGCTGCCAACTGCATCCACAGTGTGGCTTACAGGTTGATCCTCCCTGCTTCAGGGCCATTGCTGCTTGGGCAGGAGGCTCTTTGGCTGGTCATCTCCAATGTGCCTCTTGCTGTATTATGCAGGCATGGTTGCTTGTGTATTCATTCATTCATTGGACACATTGATGCATTTGTGCATCCCTTCATGTGTCTATACAAAAAATGTTTCTTATGCTTCCATTCTGTACCAGGTACTGTTTGGGGCATCCAGGGTAGAGTAGTAAAAAGGACAGAGCAGTCCCCACTCACACAGCCCTATACTTCAATGGGGGAGACAGATGAAGAACCAGCAAACAAATAAGTAGGACCATTTCTGGTTCAAGAGGGAGATGTGATAGGGGAATGTGGGGTTGCTGTCCTCAGGCAAGGCCTCTTTGAGAAGGTAGTATTTGATTTGAAATCTGAACAAGAAGGCATCTTCCATGCTGAGGTCTTGGGGAAGCACATTCTGGGTGGATGAAATAGTTAGTGCTAAGACCCTAGGGTAGAAACAGGCCTGTAGTTTTGAATAGAAAGTGGCCTGGCGCACAGGAAATCAATGTGAGTCAATGCTCTGTATAGCTATCCTTATCTCAACCAGCAAAACCCCTTGTTCCTTCCTATTATTGCTTATACTCTCTCTACAACAAAATTAGAGATAAGGGCAAAATAGTTTCTGCTGGGTATTGAGGGGGGGGAGCGGGAGGGGGTGGAGTGGGTGGTAAGGGAGGGGGTGGGGGCAGGGGGGAGAAATGAACCAAGCCTTGTATGCACATATGAATAATAAAAGAAAAATGAAAAAAAAAAAAAAAAAGAAAGTGGCCTGGGCAGTTTGAGTAACTTGGAGTGGAGTGAATAAGAGGTGAGGAGTTGGTCACATGGGCTTCAGAGCCCTAGGAAGGATTTGGGGTTTACATTAAGGGCTTTAGAAGGTTTCAGTCAGGGAAGCTATATGATCTGCTGAACGTTATAAAAGGATCAGTCTTGCCCTGTGTGATAAAGCCTGGAAGGAGGGTTGGATGAGCAGGCGGGAGGCCCTGAAGTCTTTCAGGTGGCACCCTGGCGTGGTGTGTCCAGGTAGGAGAGAAGGGCAGCTTGGATTAGGCTGATGGCCACAGAGAGGTCAAAGGGGCAGAGCTCACGGTCCTGTGGGTATAGGAGCTGGAGGGACAGACTGCAGCTTGGGCGGACACTGGGGCTTCCTCTGGTGGTAGACTCAGTAGCCAGGCTTCTGCACCATAAGGAGAGGGATGGTGGATATGAGCCAAAACCCAGGCTAGTGGAATGGTCTCACTTCACGGGGACGTTGGGGCACCATCTGATGACTCCTTTTACTGGAGGAAGATGACGTCTGCCCTGGCAGATGTTGCCTGAGGCTCACACTTGTCTTCAGAGATAAGCAGACAACTGCTTCTGGGTGTGCGCTAGCCCTGCTGCCAGACTGCCATCCACTCTGGTAACGTGTGTTTGTGGTACTTTGTGGGGGCTTGGAAGATGCTAATGTTTGGGGAAAACACTTCCATGCAGAGTCACTTGGATGCAAGTAGGCCTTGTTTGTCCAAACCAGATTCTAGCTTTGCACACTGGGGGCCTTTGGTCTGTTGTTGACCATGTGTGGATGCAGCAAGTTTGTCCTTCTTCACTGTCACAGCCTTACCTGGCTTGATCCCAGCAGATGCCAGGCAATGGTGGATGTTCGGTGGGAGGGGAGGGGGTTGTCCCACGCTACCTTGCTGCTAGCTGCCTTATTCAGCATCCTGAACTACATCAACCCCCACTGTTTCCTCATAAAACCTGAGTTGCTGCTGAATCTTTAAAGAGAAGGTAGAGAGAAAGAAGAAAGAGGAGAGAAGAGGAAAGAGAAAAAAAGAGGTACCCATCTCTTTCTTTTCCTAGGATTGTCTTTGCCAAGCATTGGTGAGCATCCAGGTCCTACAGTCAGATGGCCTGGGTTCTCATCCTGCTCCCTCACTGGCAGCTGTCTCTCCTGGACCAGTGCCTCAGTTGCCTCCAGTGTAAATGGGAATAATGATTGGCCTTCCTTATGGGCTATGAGCTTTCACTGACACAATGTAGGCAACAAGCTGGCACACAGGAAAAGCTCAGCACACATTGGCAGCTGTTCTCAGGATTGCCTCAGCAGCAGCTATAAGACGTCCCTGATACCAGGGAGAAGAGGGAGGACAAGGACTGGAAGTTACTAGAAGACAAAGCTGGAAGCAAAAGAGCAGCAGGGGAAACACTGGGCTCTTCCCCTGCCCTCTCTGACCCTCCCCATCCCAGTCTGCTCTTGTCTATAGGCCGTATCCCTGTGCACCCCAAGGAACCCTAAATGAAAACATTACTGTCCATTGATCATTGTCAGTCAGTGAGGTACTGTGCTGTTTTTTGGTTCTCGGCTCAATTTTTATACTCCATGAGACAGGTATTCTTTTAGGTCTGTTTCACAGATGGGGAAATTGGGACACGTTTGCTTGAGATAAAAAGGAAGTGGTAGAGGTTGGATTTGAACTCTGGCAGTCTGATACTAAACTGCTAGCACCTGACCATTATACTATAGCACTTCTCATGAGAGAGGCTGCCTGATTTGATCACCTAGGGTAGTAAATGGAAGACAGAGGGGTGCACTTCATTGAAGGCTTGGAGCTTTTGTGGAGGAGCTTGTGGGGAGTCTCAGACAGGAGCGGGATCTGTGACTAGAGCCCATCATTCCTCCTTCTCCAGGCTGTCCAACAACGGCGTCACCCACCTGGGTGCAGAAGCCCTTCTTCAGGTCCTTGAGAGCAACAGCACCATTCTGGAGATCTGGTAAGGCCCCTGGCGAACCTTTTGACCTTCCTGAGCCTCAGTTTTCCTATTTGTGAAATGGGGTGAGGGGGGAGAGAAAGAGCCAGATTTTTCAGATCCCTTTGACTGTAACATTTGGTGTCATTAGATGTATTCAGATCTCTGGGTGGGAAGTCTTCATGTCTCCCAGAGGGGACCAGTTTTTCTATTTAAAGCTAGGAGTATTTATTCAGAAACGTCTGTTTTAAGCAGCAGGTTAGGAGTGGAGGTGCAGTGGAAGAAGGGAAATAAAAAGAACATATCCCTTGTCCTCCTGGGCGTCACATCTGCTCTATAGGTTTGCGACATCATGCAGCCCTCCGCAGCCCTGGGTCCTGTGGGTTACACGGGATGGGGACCCTGGTACAGTGTGGCCACATTTATATCAATAAAAGCTACAGTCAGTCCTTCATGGGTTTGAGGAATCCATTGAGTCAAAACTTCAAAGATTTATCCTCATTTCCATGGATCTATTTCTTACAGAGATAATAAGCAGAAAGGATTTCCCTGCTGTAATACATCATGAGTTGATGATACATATGAGTTTCAGGCACTGGGCTATGTACAAATATTTTAAAAGTAGGGGGCGGGGTAGGTAAGGGAGGGGGACGGGGAGAAGGGGAGAGAAATGACCCAAACATTGTATACACATATGAATAAAACTAAAAAAAAAGTAGTATTTCTTGCTCAGATCTATTTTTCAAATGAAGTATGGTGGTACATGCTTGTTATCCCAGCATTCGTGAGGTGGAGGCAGGAGGATTGTGAGTTCAAGGCCAGCCTTAACTACATAGTCACAAATCAAAACAACACAATACTATATTTCAGGGTTTTTGCAAAAGATCTGGCAACTCTTGAGCCCCATTCTCAATGCCATTTAAGAACCTGCAGAGAGGAAAGGGTAACCCCCCTCAGATGGGCAGACCTATCAGCCTGTTGTCTTAGTACAGGTCCCATGTACCTGTATTTTACTTGCCTGGGCCTTTAAGCTTGTGATCCCTGCTTTAAACATGCATACCTTTCCCTTTCCCAGAAAAACATATCGAGGTGAGAGAAAATGTAGATTCCAAATATTGAAGTTAAAAACAAAAACTCCTGAACTCTCTCCTGGGCTAGAGAGCTTTGCTTTTGATGTGATTTTGCAATCCCATAGCCTGTGAGGCCAGCATAGTCCTAAGAAATGTCACATTCTATGTCCAGAGAGCAAGCCAGCCTCAGGTTGGTATTTAGGGGCTGTGATGTCCCTTACTGCCTGTTGATGGAGCTAGGTGTCAGGACTCCATCAGTGCATTCCTGACAGATTTGGTTGTTGCCTGAAAAAGAATACTGGGCTTGGGGAGTCTGCAGATGGCTGAGCCCGGTGTCCCAGACTCTTTCTGCCCTGTCATGGAGCCTCGTTCACCATGCAGAGTGATTCATCCCTGCTCAGGGGTGGGGGGACAAAGAGTAAAAGCAGTACAGCTTCCTTCCCCCAGCCTGCGACTGGACCTGAGGGCTGGCCCCCTCCCCCAGGCATGGGTTTGAAGAGTGCAGCTTCCCTTTGAAAGCCCTCCTCTAATTTTGTCCTCTCAGCTTCTCTTCCCTTTGTCCCTGCAGGCTCCGAGGGAACACTTTCTCTCCAGCGGAAACTGAGTTTCTCAGCCACAGGGACACCAGACTCTTGCTTTGATGTCTCTGGCTGATGTGCATCTCTGTTTGTGAGTGAGCCATAGGTTTGGACTCTAGAAGCCAGACGATGTCTTGGAGCAGCCTTATCCTGCCCAGAGGTGAATTCGTTTTCTGGGAATCCTGCAGGTCACCTTACTGTGGCAGAGGACGGTGCCCCAGTGCCCTCCAGAATCAACTTTTCTCAAGCCTGCTTCTGCCATCAGGTTCTTCCAGACTCCATGGATGGGATACACTAGAGGGGCAGCCCTCTGCCAGCATGGGCTGGCCTCAGCCAATCCCTTAGCATTCTGACAGCAGTGAGTGGGGCCCATGGATGTCAACGGAGTGCTTGTTGGTGTAGAGACCTGGACCCACATGAAAGATGCCCCTGCTCTTGTCATGAGAAGGCGTATTTGGGAAGCAGCTCTCAGCCACATCTCCACTCAGAGGTCATCTACCATGGCCATTCCCTCTCTGGTTCCTCCACTCATCCTTTGTGAGATATGAGAGCAACCCAGCCTTGGAACCCAGGGTCACAACTTACCCTGCTTTCCTTTCTCATGCTTAAGACATTTTTGGAAGGAGACACATGGCAGCCTTTTGTCCCCAGGACATTCTAGATTTGCAAGAAAAATATGACTGTGCTCCAGCTGAAGTAACACATGGACTTTTATTTCCAGTGAAATCAGTTACTCTTCAGTGAAGCCTTTGGAGGTAGCAGCTTGTCCAAATGCAGCTTTTAAAAATTAATCTGGGCCAGAATTTCAAAAGGCTCCTTTAGGCTTCCAGTTGACACCTATGAACTGAACTTTGACAATGGACTTCTGAAATGTGTCATAAGAGACAGTTCTGCTTTATTTTTGACAGAATGCTTTAGGATTGGGAATTGGAAGTTTACGGGAGGCAAAACCAGGCCCTTCCTTCTAAGCAAATGTCTTTCTGGACTTTCCAAAATGATGTAGGTCAAACCCTTTATGAACTGTCAGATGCTGTGCACATGTTATTATTTTAAACATTGTTATCTTTGAAAACTGGTTAATATTTTTGTAAACTACATTGTTTTATTATTTTGAGTTGATACGTTTATAGGAAACTGGCCTTGAACTTTATGCTGTAAATAATCACAGAGGAGAATTGTACAGTTACAGCTGTCTTCATTGCGATCAAACATTTTTAAATGTTCCGAAACCTTGTCAAATTTTAAAGCACAATTTTCTACTTGAAGGGGGAAAATCAGGTTTTCAACCAGATAATTTATTGCTTAAGGCAAAAGCAATTCTTAGAAATAGGCTGGCAATCAAAACACATTTGGCTTCAGCGTAGAAGGGTCTAACCAGTGTGAAGTTTTAGGCTGCACTAAAATCTGTGGTGCACAAGCTGAAAAGCCGTGACAAATGTGAAAAGGTCTCTGGGCCTCCCTCAGTTCTCTGCAGATGGCTCTAGGAGTCTTTACCAGGAGAAAGATGGAGAAGGTCTTCCTGCAGTTTTCCTCTGCCGGCAGCCTCCTGCCAGGCCTTGCTGAAATCATTCCTAGCTCATTTAATGAGCAAGGGCTCAGGTGGCTGCTCGCCACTGTGGAGTACTGCTTCCTTAAAAGGCCTTGTGTGTGTCTTGCTTGATAAATGCTGTGACATCTCCCTAGACTGCTGCATTCGAGTGTGTCTATGGCCTCTTTGTTACTGAGGTCTGCCTCATTGGACTGTTGTTTCTGGTGTAAGTGATCAGGAAGAAGGTAGAGCTAGATCTGCTTTCTCTGAAGAGGGAACACAGCAGACCGTTGAACAGTGATAAATTCATCTTCAGCAATGACTTATTAAGCAGTCATGTTAGGACAATCAGTGGATGATAAAAACAGACATGGCCTCTGTCCTCAAGGCACCTAGGTCATGATAGAGGGAAAAGCAGGCAGAAAATAAGTACACTAAAAATACACATATGTAATAAGGTTCATTACCATAAGTGCTAGGAAGGAAATTGTTACAGTCTGGATTTGAAATGTTCCTCAAAGTCCTATGTGTTGAAGGCTTGGTGACCAGCCTGTGGTGCTCTTAGGAGGTGGCAGAACCTTTAGGAGGCGGGGCCTAGTGGAAAGAAGTTAGGTCATTGGGGGTCTGCTGTTGAAGGGGATATTGAGACCCTGGCCCCTTCCTCTTTTTCTTCCAGGCTGCCATGAGGTGAGCAACTTCTGTTGCCACACACTCCTGCCATAATGTGCTGTGCTGTTTATAGGCCCAAAGTGTCACAAACCAGCCAGCTGGGGTCCCTTTGCCCTACCCAGATAGAAATAGCGTGTAGATGAGGAGAGGCTCTGGCCCTTTTGGAAATTTGCAAGCAGTAGAGTGGATGACAGAGGGCAGCAGCAGTCAACACTGGGCCTTTGACAGCTAGGGTATTGCATGGGATTTGGGCCTTGGGATTCAGGCTTGAAGCTCCTGACAGCTTAGGCAGTGGCACAGGGTTCCAGGGCCCTAAGTGGTGGGAAGAATCTCTCTGCCAGCTGATCCTGACCAGCCACCAGTCTTACCTTTTCCATTCCCCACTGATATTCTCTGCTTGCCCCAGCTGCTCAGCTTGCTGTCCTTACTACTGCCCTGCTGTTGGCAATTTCCTCCCTGTCATCTCTGCTTCTTCTCTCTCTTCACATTACCAGCTCAGCAAAGGTGGGCAAGACCACTGGAGAGAAAGCCTTTTTTTTTCTTGTAACATCAGGTTGACAGAAAGGAGAGTGTCACTCAGTTATTCACAGAGTGAGTTGAGCAGATTGCTTATATAGCCTGGGGTTGGGACAAGGGTGTCTGCACCAGTCATATCAGTCTGCCATGTTTGTACCAGTCATGGTACAGTCCATTATACAAATGAAGGATTTGTGTTTGCACCAATCACAGGTCTTCTGATGTATGGAAGTGCTGCAACCTCCGGCCAAATCAGGAGTGAAGGTTATGGCAGCTGGTCTTCTGTTGCTTACTGGGGCAGTCCCTTCTTGAGCTACAGTTGTGCTTTGGGTATTGGCATGAAGGAAATCCGGCTGCCTGGTTGGCAGTCCTTTGCTCAGGGGAACCAGGGCCCCAGAGAAGGGTCTAGCAAGTGTCAGGGAGTTAAGTTTCCGTAGACCCCAGCATCTCAGGACATTTAGAGTAGAAAAAAAAAAAACCCAAAATTTGCTAAAGGGTAACTACAACAGAGATTTAACAGTAACAGTACTTTAACAGTACTTAGCAGTGGTCTGACAGCACTTAACTTCTGACCCACTGTCACAGGAAGAGGTGAGTCCTTATCATCTGTTTCAAAATCAACAGGGTCAAATGAAACCATGAGGCAAAATAAACCTTTCCTCTTTGTAAGTTGTTTGTATCAGAAAATGAAACTTTACTAATATGGAAATGCACAAAAGTGCAAGGTAGAGAGGATGTTCTCAGACCATTGAAGGACTGGTGCAAGATGGGTTCTCTGAGGAGGTGCCAGGTCAGCTCTGTTCCCAAGAATGGGAAGGGGCTGATCATGCCATAAATGATCAGGGAGAGAGAGCATTCCTGTCACAGGAACCGGCTATCCAAAGACTCCATTGTGGAAAAGAGTGTGGTGTGTCTGGCAGGCTGAGTGATGGTTCCTGAACACATCCATGTTCTAATTCCTGGGACTGTGAATGCTGCCTTACATGGTGAAGGGACTTTGCAGATGAAATTTAGTTAAAAAAAATTTTTTTTTGGTGGTACTGGAGTTTGAACTCAGGGCTTCATGCTTGCTAGGCAGGCGCTCTACCACTTGAGCTACTCCACCAGCCCTAGTTAAGAGTCTTGAGATGCGGAGATGATTCTGGATTATAAGGTAGCCTTAAATGCAATCACAAGTGTCCTTATAAGAGAGAGGCAGAGGGAGAATTGACACAGAAGACAGCCCTGTAACCATTGAAGCAGATGCCACACTCCTGCCTTTGAAGGCAAGGAAGAGGCAGGAACTAAGGACTGCAGCATGACAAGCTGAAAAATACAGCATGCATGTGGTGAGCTAAGAAAATGGATCTGCAGAGGGTAGGTGGGGCCATTTCTTGAGGGACCTAGATGCACATGGTCAAGAATTTGGCTTTGATCTTAGAATAGTGGCAAGCCACTGGAGTGTTCTAAGTAGGGGAGATGAGACCCCATTTATACTCAACAAAGATCTTCTTTGCTCTCAGGTAGAGATGGGGATGGAATGCACAAGTTGGGGATGGGGGAAGTGGATATGAGGGGGCTGCCTAAGAGCCCTTGCAGGTGGGAGGCAGTGGGCCAGCCTTGAGGTGGGTGGTGGAGGTGGTGAAAATTTCCGGAGACAGATTCCCAAGGGCTTACAGGTGGGGTGCATGAGACAGCCAAGGGAAAGGAAGAATCCTGGATGACTTCCAGATTTCTGAATCTACCTGGGGACTGGGGATGATGGGTAGGAAATGAGCTTGGAAGAGGGAAGGACTTGTGTCTTGGCTTGTTAAGTCTGAGACATCTATATGAAGTAAAGTGGAGACATAAAGTTATGACATGCATCTGGAGCCCATGGAAGTCACCACTAGAGAGAATGATGTGGGCATCCTCACATCAAAATGGTGGTGGTGGTGGTGAGGTCTTTGGACCTGTATGACAGAACCCAGGAATAGATTATGAAGAAAAAAGAATTTACAAGGGCCGGTAAGGACAGCATCAAGATCTTGGCATGTCATTACTGTCAGAGTTTAGAGTAGGAGAAATTTCATAACGTTCAAAAGTTCAGCAGACACTGCTGAAGGAACTTCTGGGCTTGTGTAGGTGATAGTGAAATAGAATTCTTCATCTTAGGTTCTCTGTCAGGGAAGTTACCTAAGAGGTAGTATGTGCTCATTGTGGCTTATCCAGGAGCAGACAGATCCCAGATTTGTGGTAAAGAATGCATAATTCATATGTACAGAACAACAAGGTATTAAAGCCAGAGAATTTTCAAATAGCCTTGGGTTTTAATTATGTTAGTCATCATCATCTGAAAGAAAAAAAATGTCAATTTGAGTGTTTCCATCACCCCACTCTAGCAACCTCCATAGTCCTGAAATAGGGTGCTGAAATGAATACACCTCACAGAAATGTGAGTGCTGGACTCATATCTCAAGTGGGCTGGGTTGAGACCAGAACGTCATTCAGGTATTGTACCAGTACCTCTTCAAGCCTCTCTCCCTGCTCAGTGATTGGCATAGCCCATGGGGGAAGCACACAGAATTGGGCACCACCTTGGCTATGTCCTTGCATGAGGGAGCGCACAGCCTTGGGCCCTGGGTAGGCGTTACAGGTGAACAGCCAGGTCATATGGACAGGGGACTGACCTGCACCATTTCCCCTTGGAGAGTTACAAAGAGACTACAGCTTTGTAGACTGGAAATCCAAGATCTTTGACTTGTGCTTCCCTGAGATATCTTTCTGTTTTATTCTAAATTTAATTCCAACTTATCTTTACTTTCTGGACAAGCGACCGATCCAGTCCTCTAAGCCTCAACTTTTCCCCTATCACTCATCCTGAAAAATCCTTCCTTTCAGGAGCACTGCATCCTTTTTAAAAATAATATTTGGAACTTCTTTCTTGACATCTGTTCCAGGGCCCCTTATACCTTGCTTCTCACCTGCCCCTCTCCCACCTCCAGGAAACAAGGGACCCCTTTAGAACCCACTCTGCAGCAGTCTCCCTGCCTCTGCCCTTGACCTACAGAGTAAGACGATTAGAACACAAGTCAGATCAGCCACTGTTTTGATCTAAACCCTTCAGGAATTCCTGTATCGTACAGAAAAACTCAAGGTCTCATGATGGCTTGGACCACCCTGCGTCCTCTCTGGCCTTACCCTTGCCGCCCACAATTCTGTTCTCTGTGCTCCAGCCATACTGGCTTCTTTGCTGCCCCTTGATCATGCCACGCTCTTTGCTGCTTCTGGACCTCCACACTTGCGCAATTCGTCTTATGGAGATGCTCTTTCCCTCCATAAGAGGGACAAAGACAAAGATGAGGTTTGGGTCCTCGTTTCCTTCAGGTCTTTTTTTGTTCATTGAGGGAGCCCTTCCCTGAACAGCCTGCCTATCTTCAAGCATTCTTTTCTTCTCTACCCTGCTTAATAGTGTCTTCTTGGTGTGTGCTGCCTGATGTACTTCTGTTTTTCCCTTCTTGTTAGAGTTTGGGTCTTGAATGTCCTCTCACCCTGCTAAAGGCCCATGCGTTATAGGCAGTTGGGAGGTGGTGGAACCTTTAAGAGTTGAGGCCTAGTGGGAGGTCTTCTGGTTATTGGGGGCGTGTCCTAGAAGGGGCTATTGAGATTCTGGCTCCTCCTACCTCTCTTATTTGATTCTGGGCTGAAATGAGGTGAGCAATGTCTTTGTCATGTGCTCCTTACCATAACACACTGTGGCACCACAGACCCAAAACAACAGGGCCAGGTGAATGTAGGCTGAAACCTCTGAAACTGAGTCAAAATAAAACTTCCCATCCTATAAGTTGACTTTCTCAGGTATTTTGTCCCAGCAAAAGTCAGCTGATTAAAATACTTGCTGTGCTCATGGCATTGGCCTCAGTTTAGAAAGATGTCTAGCACAGAGTGGGCACTCTGACTATTTGGTAATTTAAGTAAGGAATGCACTCTACATAAAGGTGCAGAAAGTCAAAGCTGGAGCAGATTATAAGAACAAATCACCTTCCCCAACCCTGGCAGTGCCTCCTTCCCAGGGAGGAAGCTTGTGCTGGACAGGGGACCATTCTCAAGGTATCACCTTCCTCAAATAGGATCACAGATGTAGCACAAAGGCCTCCATGATGAGCATTCAGCCCTGTTCCTCACTGCTTGTTTTTACACACACACACAAGTCATTCATCTCTGACAAGAGTAAATGGCTCAAACAGGAGACCAAGTGTTTATAGTTTGGCTGGATTAGTTTAAAGATGATTAAGGCAATCCCTTTAATCTCATCAAAAAGACGTATTAGGTGATCAGTGTAAAAGCCCCAGATAGATTGTCTGGGTATACCTGGGGCTCCTCTTCCCTGAGAGAAAAGGGCATCTCTGGGATGGAGAGCTCTCAATTCCTCATCTATTAACTGAAGCACTACACTGGGATTCTCTGTAGAAAGCACAGGTATCCTACCCTTGCCTGTGGGGACACCTGATCCAGGTAGTCCCTTGGCTCAGAGCTCCTTCCAAATGTCCATGTTCACTGGATTGGTGGGGAAATGACTAGAACCATAAGAGGCTGGATGAACAACTGGAAGTTACCATTTATGGCAGTGGAGAAGGCAGAAGGATTGCAGTGTGGGTGGGGAATGTCAGGGTGCCCACGTAGAGTAGGCAGTAAGATAGGAAATAAACGTGGAATTTGGTGAGGCTGGAAGGAGGAGGCCACCTATGATAGCCAGTAGGAAGCATAGAGCAGGGTCTATTCCATAACCTCAGCCAGCACTGCTGCAAAGGTTTCTTTCAGTTTTGACAATGTGTGACTCTATGTCATGGGCTCTGGAAGAGAGCTCCTTTTAATTCAGTGGCTTTTTGCTAGTTTCCTGCTGTACACAATATGATAACTATGCAACACAGCTTACTTTACTACCTGGCTAAAACCCTTCAATGGAGCTCCTCTGTTCTAGGGATGGGGACCAGCCTTGCCCCAGTGCAGTGTCACACTCTGTGCTCTGCCTTTTCCAGTCCCTTCAATATGTCATGCACTTTCCTTTTCCTTTGTCTGGAGTGCTCTGCCTCACCCTATCTCATCTTAAAGGTGCCTTCCTTAAATAGGCCTTCCCTGGGTACCCCACCACCCTTCATGTGTGCTCAAAGCTATTCTCCTGCCCTTACCATAACTGTAAATAAGGTGATTGTGTAACCTTATGAGAGGCAAGGCTGGCACCTTTCTCATCCTCTGCTAGTTACCTGCTCAGTACCTTAACCACTAGTTTGCCTGAACTCGGGTCAAGGCTGGGTGGAATAGACTGAGGGAGGGTGGAGGTGACCAGTGAGGACTGGAGCCACCTGCAAAGACCTCTGGAGGAGGTTGGACTTTGGCTGAGTGCCACACAAAGTGAGGATTTGGAAGGTAGAGAGAATGGGCACTTCAGCTGGAGAAGCCATTTGAACAGAGGTGGTGAAAGAACCTGACTTGCAACCAGGAGACTCAGGGTCTCAGTCCATCTCCTGGATGACAGGGGCAGTTATTTTCCTCCTTTGGGCCTTCATCTCCTTTCTGTAAAGTGAGAGCCTGGTAGATGAGAGACTGCAAATAATAAATAGCACTATGACACTCTGCTCCCACCTCAACCCCTGGCAGGCATCTCTCTTGCCTGTGAACTTGAACATACAGTTTCAGGATTGGGCCAACACAGTTCTGGGCAGCTATTACCAACCTCTAGGAGAAGGGAGATGGTAATTGAGATAAAGCCTGTTTGTCAGGCTTGGCTTAGCTGATGATCTCTTGGATGAAGTCAGGCCCTGACTCTGATTCAATGAGCATGTGACAGGAGGGCTGAGGGAGGTATCTGGCCATTGCTGGTGGTGGGAAGAAAGCCCTCCTGAAGCAGAGCCCTCAGTGGCACCAGATGCCATGAAAGGACATGAAGTTGCTCCAGTCCAAAGATGGCAAATCAAATGTCTTCAGGAACAAGTAGTTAATGCTAAAGGGAGAAGTAGTCCATGGGGGAGAATAGGGAATGGTGAGGGGTGTGGTAAACTGGAGAGAGTGAGAGTGCTTGCTTTGTCTAAAGGATTAAAAAACTCTCTCCCAGTCCTTTTCCTCTTCTCCTTCCTCCTCCTTACTGTGTGGGTCAAGCAAAACAGTCTTAAGGCTGAAATTCTCTCCCACACAGCCAGCCTGTGACGTCTGAGTCCCACCAGCTTTATTGAGAACGTAGATGTAAGGCCACACTGGAAGTCACTGTTGATCCCCCTCACTTTGCTTCCTCCCAGGGTGAGCTACTGAGGTCTGGGAACAGGGTAAGGATGGACTAAGGAAAAGAAGTGGATGGAGGCTTGGGTTTTCCAAACATGTCCCTTCATTTCATTGTGGGTGATGATGGCGAGAGAGAGGAGAGGAGTGGCCTGCTCAGAACTACTTTTAGTACCATCCGTTTCAAGTCCCCAGATCTCTAGAAGCATGTCACTTTCCATTGGGGAAATTTGTGCCATGATTACACACACACACACACACACACACACACATATACCCCTTGTTTCTCAGTATTAATCATCTTCCTCCATAATTAGTACGTAAAATGTCAAAGGAGAAGGAATTAATTAACAGGAGTATCCAGTGCAGGAAGGCATGCTGCAGGCTCTGGGACTTGTTATAAAAAGCATTTCCTTAAATATTTTGAGTACTTTTGGGACTCAGAAGCCTCCCTCCTAATCGAAAGATTCTTAACTACACCGAAGTCCTGGCTGGTGGCCAGAGGTGCAGGGCTGAGCAAGACACCATGCAGAATTCCCTTTTTCACCACCCTTAGGAAGCCTCCCTTCAAACTGGGATAGGTGGCCATAGGGGTGCAGAGACAGCAGGGGTCCCAAAGCCGCATCTGAGGGGCAGGCAGAGGTTTAACCTTTACTGAGCTCCCACTGAGCGTCAGGAACGTTATTACAGCATTTCACAACGTTCCCATAAGACAGGTGGTCCTATTGTCTCCATTTTACAGGTAAGAAAACTGAGGCTCGGTGCGGATGTGAGTTCTCCTTGTCACGCGACAACTAACTAAGAAAGCAAAAGATTCAATCTGAGATGTGATTCTAAATCTTTGCTCTTTCATGGAATCCTGGAAAACTATTCCTAGCTCCCGGCTGGACTGCTTCCCACCCCAGTTTTGACAGCAAAAGCAAGAGCCAAAACCAGAACCTGGGAGGTGGAGCTGGGAGCACAGCGCCCCGCCCCGGCTTCGGTATCAGCCAATGGTGACGCCTTTCGTCCAGTCAGCCAGGGCTTGCTGTCCCCCGTCCGTTCCCCCCACCCCCCCAGCTCTTCTCCGCCCCTCCCCTCCGCTTTCCCTTTGGCTCCACCGAGCTTGACAGAGCGGAAAGTCCCTCAGCCGGCGTCACGTTGGCAGCCATTGGAGGAAGGTCTGTCATAGGAAGAGCCAATCAAGAGGCCAGTGGGAACTCAACTCTGGCTACGATTGGTCAGTGCGGCGGTTGTCCCGTCCGCCCCCGCACCCTCCCTCCGCCCTTCGGGTAGTTAGGAGGCGGGGCAAGTGGGGGCGGGCCCAGGTAGCAGGTTCGGTTGCGCCGGGGCCGCGCGTCTAAGGTAAATACTAGGGCGGTGGGTGTGGGGCTCCGGGGCCGAGCCGGGACGCGGGCTAGGGAGGCAGGGCAAGGGGCGTCGCCTCGCAGCCCGACGTGACTAAGTGTGTTGCTGACGAGCGGCGGGCGTCCAGGTGCCCCCAGGCTTCCCAGGCCTTGGGGATCCTCTGGCCGCCGCGGAGACCATCGGGCCTCGGCACCTGCCCGTTAGTTGTCCCGGCTCGCCGGACCTCTGCCGGGCCCGCGGGGTACTGAGCTCTCTGACGTCAGCTCGGGCTTCCCCACCCCCAGAGCCTTCCGGGAAGGGTCCTGAGTCGTGGGAGCTGGGTCGCCGCTGCCGGGACCCCTGGAAAGAGGGGGCTCGGGGTGGGAGTGGCGCAGAACTCAGTCTCCCTCTTTGGCCCCCTTTTGCAGATGGGGAAACTGAGGCACGGGCCGCTGGCTGGCTCTCGAGGGCTCCAGTTGGCACCGAGGGCCAGTATCTTATGTCCGTGCTTTGGGGCGTATGCCTGGGCCGTTTTGGGGGCGTTTGTGGCTCCCTTCCAGGGAGAGCAGTCGGGGTTCTGGTCGCCTTAATGGCGCGTTCTGCTTTTTCTTTCAGTTTCCTCCTTCCAGGGTGAGGATGGTTTCGCACGACAACTCGGAGCTCCGTAGGTGAAAGGTGTGCCCTTTCGAGCCAGGTATTCGTCCTTCCTTTCTGGTTTTCGTTTTATTTTCCTTAACAGCCCCGGGGGAAACCGTGTTCTTGATGGAAGGTGATGTTGTTGAGTGTGGAGCTCAGCTGGTCAGCTGCCCGGTTATTCACGTAGGAATAATGCCATCCCTTGGCATTTGCATGTTTTAGGGTGGTTGTCATCTTCCAGCCACCAAGCCTGTGGTCTTGCAGTCTCCCAACCCCCGTCATCCCTGCCACCCTCCTGTCCCTAATTTTCCCTGGAAAGTTGTCTCCTTAGCTCAGCTAAGGAGCATTCTTACCTTGCTTTTGAATGGTGGCTGATTAGGGATCTTAGTAAGATTGCTCATTTTGCAATCATTGGCTCCCAGAGAAAATCCAAGCCTCAAGAGGGCGTGCATTCAAACACCGGTTTCCTGCACACCCCCTTGTCCCTAAGTAGGTTGAATAGCCCTAAGAATTTAGCCTCCTTCCCCACTGGGTGGTGGGTGGATGTGCTCTAGAACAGTTTTAGGAGAAAACGAGTTGCTGGAAATTTTTGTTGAAGTTCAAGTGTTCTGAATGCTTATAATACCCACAACATTCTCTAATGTTCTGCTGCTGAATTTCAAGACATGCTTGCAAAGAAGCCTCGTTTGGGTGGTAACTTTTGTGAGATGCTGATAAAGCAGGGCACTTGTTATATAAAACATCAGACATTAAGCAGCAATGATTTCTGTGGTCTGGCAGGACTAAACTGTGGGTTTTATTTGATATAAGGAAGTCTTTAATATGAGAAGGGAGTAATTGTCTTATTCATCAAACTACGTATTAGTGTTTTGTTCCTGATTTTCACAGTATGATCTTAGATTTGTCAGGGGATTTATATTGTTTATGCACAATTTATAAACATCATACATGGTATGAGAGTCTAGGAAGCTAGTTTCAAATGAACCTCAAAACAACTTGATTTCATCATTGTGAAGTTTTCCTTATTTCTACGTGTGTATGTAACAAGTAGTGTAAAACTTGATCATGAACTGATTTGTCTAGAGGATTTAATCATTAAATGCTCCCAACTCTTCAGTCTTTTTTTTTTTTTTGGTAACCTGAAAGATGCTGTTAATCACTTAAACAGTATAAGGCAATGGCATTTTGGCTTTTGTTTATCACTGCTGGCTTAATGAAGTTTCTGGTCTGGGCCCTGGAGGTACAAAGAATGATTTGGGAATTTCACAGTTTAGGAATGGAGTGGGTTGGTTTAACTGTAGTGATACAGCAATGTTCCTTTTAATTCTGACACAAACATGCAGATGCTTGAGTCAGAATTTTTAAATTTCTAACTATCTAAGTCCCAATTGTTTTAGGGACTGTGTTCTTGTGTTATAAGTTAATTTGTAAGGAAAATTAAAACCAACTATCTTTTTCCTGATCCTGAATCTCTACATTTCTATTTAGCTCTTTAGGAGTATAACAACTTGTTCTTTTAGTGGGAGATGTTCTTTCTTAAGAATGATAATCATTCTAGCTATTTAGAAGCATTAGGAAAAGGACTCACATGTGTTTTTTCTTGGGTGTTCATGTCGTCCTTCCTACCTGTTTGCCATTTGTGGTCAGGGACAGAATTTTAGTATTGTAATTTTTATTTTGATTTATGGAGCTTCCTATGGGTTTTAGACCAATATGATATCCAGGAGATGCCAAAAGTTCTTGGATTACATCTCTTTGTGAGATTCTTATGAATGGTGCAACCTGGTAACTTAAGCATCAAAATGACATTGTATCTTCTAGATCAGCTAACTGTTGTCAGTTTTATGTAGCTAATGATCATTTGTATTATGTGTGTGACACTTATTTCTTAATCATCTCCTTTCTATTTTAATGATAGGGAACTGGTCAATATTTATATTCTTTAACCCTTATTTTGGTTGAATGGTTTTATTTTAATACAACCATCAACAAACTCAGATTACCGGGTATGATTTCAAATCTCTGTGACAGTGAATTGTTTGCTTATCTTCAGTGTCTTCCAAAGAGAGGTCTTCTGTTCATCAGGGTTTTAGGGTGAACAGTTGTAGTACTAGTATATTCCAACTCTGGTGATCTTCATTCAGTACTTACAGTAATTATCAGGATATTCATGATAACTCAATTAACCAGCCTTCAGTAAAATAGTATTTAGATGAGTCACTTGTGATGTACTTACCCTTAAAATGATTCCACCTGCAAAGTAATAAGGGTCCACAAATGGAAAATTTTCCCTTCACACTGATTTCCCACCCCTGTTTTGAATTTGGCCACGTTTCTTTTTCCTTGTGTTTCACTGCTCTCATGACCTGTACTTACTGGCAGAAGCTTGGTAAAATGGAATGACTTGTAGACAGTCATCATGGCTCCTGTAGTTTTTCAGTATCTAACATTGTCCCACCTTCCTGGAACTCACTTATAGTGTGATTTAAATATTTCCCTTTATATTCTTTCTCTTTTTTGTGGTACTGGGATTGAATGCAGTGCCTTTTGCATGCTATGCAATTACTCTACCTTTTGAACTATGCCCTCATCTGGCCTTCTCTCTAAAATTTTGTTTTGAGACAGCATCTCACTACCTTTTGCCTAGGCTGGACTTGAACTTGAGAATCCTCTTTTCTCTACCTTCTGAGTAGCTAGGATTACAGATGTAGGCCACTTTGCCCAGGCTCTTAATATTTTGTCTTGAGTCAGTTTTTACTGCTTAGTGTTTTTTTTTTTTTTGTCTTTTTTTTGTTGTTGTTTTTGCTTTTTTTTTCTATTTTTTCCTTTTTTTTTTTTTTTCGGTGCTGGGGACCGAACTCAGGGCCTTGCACTGAGAGAAAAGAGTGGAAGAGCCAGGCAAGCGCTCTTCCACTGAGCTAAATCCCCAACCCCCTGCTTAGTGTTCTTAATGCTTCAACTATTGTGCATATTGCAGTGAAAGAAGAATGTTGGCATTATATTTATTACTACAGTGGGAAGAAATAGTAGTAGCATATTTCTGTTGTGAATACTGGTATTTTGAGAATATTAATGATTATTAAATTTACCATTGTATACATCCCTACACTGAAGCCATGAAGTTCCCCATTCAACTTTCTCTGACAGTTGCAATGAAGAGACTTGATTTATGAATATGAATATGAGAGCTCCAAGCTTATTCTTAATGTAGTCTTTCTTCTTTTATTATTTTTTTTGTTGGGTTCTAGTATTTGAACTCAGGGCTTCATGCTTGCAAAGCAGGTGCTTTACTGTTTGAGCCACTCCTTCAGTCCTAAATGTATTCTTTCTAAATGAGGAAAGGCCACATGGTTTTTATTTTTGGATATTGCTTTTTAAATATTTTATGACCTTTGCTTTGGCTGTTCTAGTTCTCTAATGTGACCCGTCCTATTATTGAATCTAAGCTCATTCCACGGGTGCTATTGCAAATTAGCGGAAACTTACTGCTCTGTGTAAGTCACTTTAAAAATTGCTTGAAAACTATTGCACTGCCTTCAACCTTTTTATAAGCCAAGTAGTTATATCAGGTTTTACTGTGTATTATCTCCCTTAAAAGAGTTTCAAAAAGCAATCTTATAATCAAATTCATTTAAGATATAGTATCCTGATACATTATATATAGTAATTTTGTTTTGCCAATATTTTATTAGCACCAGTAGTTTTTACTTTAGATTGTGACATGAATTGTTGAGCTAGAGAACCAATAGAGTAGGAGTTTGTGGCATGTAATTACTAAATTTCAAGGAAGTCAATTTTAACATTTTAAGAAAGCCATTTTAGTAATTTTTAAAGAGAATTTCTTTTGAAAATAGAATTGTTACCCTTAAAAAAATTCCCCCCCCCCAAATTTAAATATATTTTAAAGGGAACTAAAACAGCTCACTGTCATTGCTTTTTGACAACTTCTACTTCTGGAAGCAATATTGTAATAATGCCTATCTACTTTACTTCTCAAGAGTCTTCCAAAGTTTATGTCTTCCTTTTTGTTATTGTGGTTTTGCTTTTTTAAACACATAAGCATATCTTATCATCTAGCTTCTTAGAACTGATTAAAAGTAGTAAATTGGAAAGCAATAAGGCTGCAAAAGGAGTCAAATGCAACCACAGAAAATGGCTGATTGCAAGAAAGAATATAGACTGTAGATCTATAGAAAGTCAGCAGGAGAGCCAGAGGGGTGTTATAAGGTCCTTTAACAAAGAAACAAACAGCCTTCCATTACTATGAGAGTCACACAGAGTAATTGATATTCCTAATGATGATGCAGTGACCAAGAAAACAAAACAATTTCTTTGTTGAAACAATGCTGACATTTTAAAGGTATTTTAGTCAAAACCTCCAGATACTTCCCTTAGGTACTTTGAAGGTGCAGAGTCAAATTAAAGGGCTGGGTAGCTGCTTGAGTACTCCTTTGATGGGGTTTTGTTTAAGTGGTGCCGGGATTGAGGTGTCCGCAGGTATCTTATGTAAGTGACACATATAAATTGATTCCAATCCTGCTGAAGTAGACAGTGCCCTCAAGTGGAATTAAAGCAAGCACATTACAGAAAAAGAAAAAAAAGAAAGAGAAGCACTTCAGGCTACCTTTGCCTTTGTCCTCACTAACTGTTGCACATGTACTTCAGTAATGTTGGTTTGAAAGCACACCAGGCTCAGCCTATCTTGGGGTAACTTGTGCTTCTCATTTTAGCTTGTAGAGGGACAGACTTGTAAAAACTTTACCATGCTAGAATACCTCATCACCTTAACAATACTTTCTAAAAGAAATTTGCCAGATTCTTTCATTATTAAGTTAAGTGATTAAACTTCAAGTTTGGTTCTTTAGTTGTAGATGTGTTTATTTTTCATTGCAAGGATAAAATGGGTAAATATGATAGTGCTATCAATTGCTGCCATTAACCACAAGAATGGAAATAGATATCTTCATCTCAAAGAAGGATGAAATAAGAACTATATTTAGAAGTAAATAAATGTCCATATTCCCGTGACAGATTACATAGGAGCTATTAATTTCAGCAAAACAATTGCTGAAAATAATGAAGTTCTAAATTTTTGCATGAATGAAACTGTATAGTTTTCAACCATTAGTTAAAATAGGCTACTTAGTTTTGAAGGATTACTTTTGTAAAAATGAAAGTTTGAAACTGACAAAGAGTTTTTTGTATATTCCTTCCTTGAATAGTTCAAATTGTGGTAAAAACGCATTATATTTCATTTAAATCTGTTGATTTAATGTCACTATACTGCAATTATAGTTCTTTGTTACATAGTTCAAGTTTTGATGGTACAAATTGATTTATTTCAAACACCTTTAATATAATCAGATTATAATACCGGGTATTCATGATTATGAGAAATTAAATGATAGCTATGATTAATATGGCTAACATTTGTCTAAGAACAAAATGTACAAGATTAAGAAGAATGAAATTGAGTCAGAAATAAAATGTTCCATTATCAAAATAGAGCATGCAGATAAATGACTTGTGGTTAACATTTCATAGTGTGATATTATATTTTTATTGATAAAAGATGTTCACTAAATGGTGTAACTTTAATTTAAACTATGTGTTCAGAAATCATTGCCTTTTTATTTATAAGATTATATATGTTTTATTCAAACTTACTAGCTTATCTATTAAGCTACTCAGAATCCATTTTTCAAGTTTTAAAAAATGTCAGACTGTATATGATGGTAACTTTTAAAATTTTTCTAAAGTCTGATTTTATAAATTTCAGAGCCTTGGAAAAAATTATTATTGTGTTATTTTTGAAGGCACTTTACCATTGGATTTCTTTAAACATGCATAGTTATAGTAGATATAAGTTATATCTGTCTTTTTAGCCCTTTTAGATATTTTTGGAAATACTTCATTTGTGTGTGTGTGTGTGTGTGTGTGTGTATATTTAGTAGTCAAATGATATTTTAAAAAGTCTTTAACCTTAATTTAAGTTCGTGAAGAATGAAGTCTAAAGTTTGTTTTTGCTTGTTCACAGGCATTTTGATTTGCTGTCTTTTTACAGCATGGACACCAAATTGCTAAAAACATGCTTTGGGACTGCCAGTGAGTTTATCTTTTATGATTTTACAACAAATTTACTAGTGGCTCCCTTTTTTGAGTTAATGTTCTGAAGTTACTGTCACAATGAGTTCAGGCTTATGGAGCCAAGAAAAAGTTACTTCACCCTATTGGGAAGAGCGGATTTTTTATTTGCTTCTTCAAGAATGCAGTATCACAGACAAACAGACACAAAAGCTCCTTAAAGTACCCAAGGGGAGTATAGGACAGTATATCCAAGACCGCTCTGTGGGACATTCAAGGATTCCTTCTGCAAAAGGCAAGAAAAATCAGATTGGATTAAAAATCCTAGAGCAACCTCATGCAGTTCTCTTTGTTGATGAAAAGGATGTTGTAGAAATAAATGAAAAATTCACAGAGTTACTGTTGGCAATTACCAACTGTGAAGAGAGGCTCATTCTGTTTAAAAACAGAAGCCGACTAACTAAAGGCCTCCAGGTAGATGTGGGCTGCCCTGTAAAAGTACAGTTGAGATCCGGGGAAGAGAAATTTCCAGGAGTTGTGCGCTTCAGAGGACCTTTACTAGCAGAGAGGACAGTGTCAGGAATATTCTTTGGAGTAGAATTGCTGGTAAGTTCAATAAACCATTTTAGTGTTTTTGTGTGTATGTGTATTTGTACAAATGTATTTATATCATATATGTAATCTTTCCCCTTCAAACACAAAATAGGCTTTCCCAGAAGTCTTCTGTAATTTTTAATATTCATGAACCACAGGATTTTTTTTGTTGTAACTGTTCTGGTGGTATTGGAATTGGAATCTAGGGCCTGACATATGCAAAGCAGGCACTCTTCCACTGACCTACCTCTGAACCCAGGATTTACTTTTTAATGATGAATTGAGATGATGTAAAGATGATGCTTGAAAACTTTAAAACTGCCTATTACATTAGGAACATAGATAGTTATCATGGATTTTCAGGTTTTAGAAATTTTAACATTGCCTCTATTAAAAGTTAGCTTTACCAATTATGATTAACCATTTCAGAAATTGTTATAGTGTGACTTCATGTATAGTTTTCTCATTTCTTCTTAATGTATGCTGTTAAGTAATGAGTTTATATATAAGATTTTTAATAAGTTGCAGCAATTTAGCCTTGCTTATAATTATCTCTGACTATATATGTGAAAATCATCTTGGAACTTACTATACTGAATCAGAGCCAAGAACTCTGTAAATGTTTCCAAACTGAATATAAATTCTCAAAAGTTTAAATGTCAATTACATTTTGATATTCTGGTGAATAGAATTTCATGCCTTATTTTTTCTTGATTTAATTTTTCAAGCAGTGAAACAATTGAGGATTTGGTGAACAGTTATGTCAGTTTCTATCTAGGTTGCCAGGTTACTTAACCTATCTACTTAACTTCTCTAATTCTACTTCTTCCTCTGACTTGTGTGTTTTTGTAATACACTGATACGGGATTTAGCACAATGGTCATTAAATGGAGCTAATGTTGTTAATTTAAGGTAAAATTTTTTTTGACAAAATAATGTTAGACTCACATTGGAGATTTCAGCCTAACTCTTGTAAGAGAATTATGACTTGAAATTATCAGGTAATTTTATTTCAGCTTCTTCCTTATGTTTTAAACATCTTATATCTAACAGCAACTGCTAGTCATTATATTTCTTATTATAAGGAGTTATTTAGAACTTTTCCAAAATAATTACCCTGAAACCCCTGTATGGATCCTTTTTCCTGTGTGTAATCTTTCTATATTTAGCTTAGTTTTTTAAATCTCTCTTTTAGGAAGAAGGTCGTGGTCAAGGTTTCACTGATGGGGTATATCAAGGGAAACAGCTTTTTCAGTGTGATGAAGATTGTGGAGTGTTTGTTGCGCTGGACAAGCTAGAAATTATAGAAGATGATGACAATGGGCTGGAAAGTGATTATGCAGGTCCAGTGGACACAATGCAGGTTGAACTTCCTCCTTTGGAAATCAACTCCAGAGTTTCTTTGAAGGTTGGAGAAACTATAGAATCTGGAACAGTGATATTCTGTGATGTTTTGCCAGGAAAAGAAAGCTTGGGATATTTTGTTGGTGTGGACATGGTAAGAAAATTTTGGATTGTATTATCATTTGAATATATGTATTAGTTTTATGACCAATTTAGGTACAAATTTATACTTTAAATATTTAAAGTAGACTAATTTGGTGTACTTTAAAGAACATGTTCTAGTTTATCTTTGGTAAAAGAACCTTGAAATAGGACAGGAGTCTATATATAAAATTACTTTTTTTCCAGTATGAATAATCAAATTAATCTTTAAATTTTTCATATTACAGCTGACAAGTAGACAAAAAGCAACAAAACAATAAGAATAAAATCAAGTTAAAAAACCCCACCAAATACACTACATTATGTGATTCCTTATTTTTATTTTGAAAGGTTCTTTTTATAATATATGCTTGTCCTCTAGTATATTTTGTAAAATTTTATTGACTAGTCTGATTCTAGTGAGGTTTTTAATGTATATATTTATGCACATGTATATGTATTTATATATTAAATTTTATATATATTAATATATTTAAATTTTTAATTTTAAATATTTTAATATAATTTTAAAATTTAAAATATATTAAAATTTTATAAATAAATCATTTACAGAAAGTGCCTGAGTAGAGGAAAGTTTGAGGAATAGACAATTCCCATAGGATATCTTTCTTTAAAAATGTTTTTCTTATTGTGGTAAAATACATGTAATGTAAAATTTACCATTTTACCCATTTTTAAGGGTACAGTTCAGTGTCACTAAGTGTATTCTCATTCTCCTGTCATCACTCTCTTATCTCCAGAACTTTTTCATCATTCCAAACTGAAACTCTGTATTTATTAAATAAATTCTGTTCACCTTCCTCACCCACTGTTAACTACTACTCTACATAATGCCTGTGAATTTGCCTGTGCTAGGTACCTTAAAGAAGTGGAATCATATGGTATTCACCCTTTTGTGTCACTCATTTTTAATGTTACCTTATAACCGTACTTGTTAATAATGAATACTTCCCATTGTGGCATACTGAATTCCATTTGTGGCATTAAGAGCATGAGAGAAAAAAGATGAGAATATTTTTATTATATATTGAAAATATGGGCAAAAATTTATTAGATATAAAGAAGGAGATTTATATAGAATATTAAATAGGATGTTTTAGGAGAGGATGTGAGTAATAGACTTGTACTTGCTGTGAGGAAGGTTTTAGTAATAATTTTAATCTATTCAGGTATAATCTGAATATTTTGGTATAGTGTGAATGTTGTAACATTTCTGTCATCTTGTGTTTGGAAATTGTATTTGATAGTACTTAGGTGCTAAATAAGTGTTTGTTGAACTCACATGTAAAGTTAGAGCCAGAGTAGAACATGTGGATCCCTCAGTATAGCCAATAATCAAGAACTTTTAAAAACTTATTAAAATCTTTAATATTAATTCAATATTTTAGAGGAGAAATTGTGGACTGGGTGGGGGAAAGATTGGAGAAAGAGGGCCACTAGTCACTGGGGTTAGTCTCCCCTTGCTTCAGGTCCTTTGGCCCAAACTCCAAACTTGGCAAGAGCTGTTCAGGTCTTCCCTTCCTTAGATGGTAGTCAAGGGATCCTCCTGTTTAGCCCTGGCAGCATAGCTAAATGTTTGCCTGAAGCTCTTCTCCCTGCTCTGTCCGTGCACCATTTGGCTTGTGTAGGCATGCAGTGTAAACACTCCTTGTAGGCTCCTTAAGAGGAAATTTCTGCCTAGTACACCTTTCTTCATACCTTGTTTCCAGGGACATTTCAGTATATACACATTGGCGCTTAGGGAAATTTTCCAGTTGGCCCATCTATTAGTTTTATCCACGAACAGCTTTGTACACTTGGTGCTACATTGAAATATAAATTATTTAAATAGGAAAATCACCACTTTTGAAGGAAATTCTTGTGTACCCATAAATGACAAAAGAGCACCTTGAAAAATAGACTTTCTGTGGTCCAGAAAGGAATACCATAGTTCAAATTAAATAGGTCCTCAGCGAATATAAAGATGTGATCAGCTTTGAGGGGCAGGTTTCTGGGTAAAATAATGTATTACTAGCAAATTTTCCTATGGAAACAATGTCTTTTTAAATCTCAGATAAGTGTTATTCCATTGACTAGTATTTATTTATTCAGTATTTATTGTTCAGTAAAGTATGAAAAACAGATTTGATTCCTTGTTTATCTGTGGGTTTGCTGTAACTTGATTATTCTTGGTTCTTATTTTTCAAAAAACAAAACAAAAATCCCAAAGCCTTATTACTTTGGTAATTATTTCTAATATGTTTTCATTTTTTAAGGTAAAATAGTTAAAATTTACCAATGTAAAATATTTTGGAGGGTCTTTTTGTGGAAAATACAGACTTTAATATTTATATTTTATCAAGGAGAGTTTTAAAGTTTATTTTATTATGTAATTTTTAGGATAACCCTATTGGCAACTGGGATGGAAGATTTGATGGAGTACAGCTTTGTAGTTTTGCAAGTGTTGAGAGTACAGTTCTCTTGCATATCAATGATATCATCCCAGGTATGTTTTCTATATTTGTAAGGCAGAGTTTCTAACATATATTTTGTTAGGAGACTGTAAATATACAATTCAAGGTACATTTTCTGAATTTGGCTTTTATATTGTAGCGTTGTTATAAAATAGAATATCCTTTCTTACCCCCAAATGAAAGCAATAAAGATTTTCATTTCCAGAAGTATGTAAGTATGGGATAACATTTATACATTATCTTTCACTTTTCCCTCTGCTAGCCATTGTAATGGAGAAAAAAGCCCTTTCCAATAATTATAAGTTAAATATGATAAACTGTTACCTGATGGAGTAAGAGCTTGTTTTAAACTAGAAACCTTTAATCAGAAATTGGTCATCTCATCTAATCTAATCCACTGTGGACAGAATTCTTGTTGAATGACTTCTGAGATCCTTTCTAGTTTTGAAAGTGTTTCATTGATCATGCCTTAAGACTGTAGTAAGAAACAGATTATTCAATTTCACTTTTTTTGTGGTACTGTGGATAGAACTCAGAGCCTTGCACATGTTAATCAAACACTTTACTACTAAGCTACACTCCAGGCAAAAAATTCCTGAGAACCTTTTATTTTGTAACAAGTAGCACTCAGTGACTGCTATGAGGTAATGGACTGATTCCTAGTGATGGCAACATCAATAGTATCATCCGCTGCTGTTAGTAGAATTCCTAGTGATAGGCTAGTACAGTAAAGGTAACAGAGGTAATCAAAGATGATGTTGATACTGAGCATTCTGCAGCTATAACTAAAATGCCCCCAAACCTGCAAATATACCAGGCCCTGAATTAGATGATTTGTACTTTTTTATATTCTTTTTGTTTGTTTTTGGCAGTAGTGGGGATTGAACTCAGGGCCTTGCACATGCTAGGTAAAGGCTCTTACCACGTGAACCATGCCAGTCCTTTTGCTTTTAGTTTATTTTTTGGATAGGGTCTTGCATTTTTGCCCAGACAGGCCTCTGACTACCATCCTCCCTCCCAAATAGCTGTTATTACAGGAATGTCCCACCATGCCAAGCCTATTTTATACATTCTTTACAAGCTTATAAGGTAGGTCTTAATGGTCCCCATTTCGCTGATAAAAAACTGAAGCTCAAATAGGGCTAAGATTGCCCAAAGTCAAAATAAGAGATTGAACCAGAATTCAAATCTAGACCTGTCTAATTTTTTAAGTTGTGTTCTTTTTTATTACCGCCCTTCCTCAACCCCCAAATCCTATGTGTATTCAGATGATATAAAACTCTGCATAGAAAACCATATTTCTCAGTTTCACATACTAGGGAATTTTGTTTCCATGGAGATGTATTTTGCCTCTAATTCTATAAAAGATGAATTTTCACTGTAGCAAGGATCACAGCTGAGCAGGCAAACTAAATTGTTTCTTCTAGTGTTTCCCATTGTTGTTACTTTTGACACAGAGCACTATTGGGTTTCCTGTAGGTCATTTCAGGTGCCCAGGTTCTTGTCTTGTAAAAATGAAAGATGAATTTAGGGGTCTGTCTAGACTGCACTGTGTACCCTTCTTGCTCCCCTGTTGATGTGGCAAGTCATAAATGTTTGTTTTACAGAAGTAGGAAATGCTTTTCATACCGCTTCTTTTTAGTTTTAGAGCAAGAGCACATTAATTTAGTTGGAGCTATGGAATTCAAATGATAGCTTTATTTCAATTTTGCTTTGAAAAATTCTGACCTACTTTGCTTTCTTAATTTCTTTAAAATCAATTTTTAATTTCTTGCAGATTGCATACCTAGCTACTTCTTTGCTTCCCTTTGGAAGCAAATGGTTTATATTCGAGGGAAAGCATATATGTGCTTCATGTTTTATCTAGTGATGACATTTAATTTACTTTTTCATGCATGTAGAGATGAAACAATTTATGGTTTTATAAATTAGAATTCTTCTTGATATTACAATGAGTGCTTATTGCTTAAAAAACAGTATTATAAAATATAAAAGGCTATTCATTCAGACATTTTTAAGCTCCTACATAGGCTTCTTTTAGATGTTGGGGATACAGTAGGAAGCAGATAAAAATTCTTCTAGTGAGTGGAGACAGACAATAAATAAGTAAAATGTGTGGTCACTTAGATGGTGATGAGGGGAAGGGAGTGCAGGGCTGGAAGGGGTGGGTTTTTCTATTTCAGAAATGGTAGTCCCAGTGGACCTCTCTAATAAGACATTGAGCTCATGACATGAAGGAAATTGGGTACTGAGCACACAGATTCCAAGCCAGGGTCCAAGGATGCAGTCAGCTTGAGCAATATCAAGAGTTCCTTGTGATTGCAGCAGACTGTGGGGGAGAGCTGGCACAGATAGGGCCAACTGGGATATTGGATGTATTCTTGGTTTTTACTCGTCGGGAGATGGAACCATAGGTGAGTTTTGAGCAAAGACAGCTTACCCTACTTTCCACTTTTAAATGATGCTATGACTACGTGCGAAGAGTGGACTATAAAGACAGTAGAAGCCAGGGGCCCCAGAAGGAGACTGGTACAACTATCAGTATTGCATTCTGCTTATTTTTCTGTTGAGTTGTTTATTGATTTAGAATTCCTTATTTTTTAAATTTTCATGAAATATTTTTAACATTTTATTTTGAAATTTCAAACATACAGAAAAGTTTAAAGAATTTTATATTGAACATTGTACCTCCTACCTACATCCTACAGTTAACATTTTACTATACTTTATGAGTATCCATGCACTAATCCACTTTATTTTTAATGCATTTCAGAGTAAGTTACAGACAGCAAAGCATTTCCTTCTAAGTAGTTTAGCACTCTAGATTAGCTAGAGTTAAGCATTTAAGATTTTTTTCATTTGAGATAAAAGTCATATGTGTAATATACATTGAATCATTTGAGTTTTGGCTAATGTCAAAACCCCCATCAAATTATAAAAATAATTTTAATGTCAAATAAACTCACATATATCAAATAAAAAGAAAAATGCAGTAAGATATTTTGTTTCCATTTTTTATTCCATATATTCCAGTTGCCCCCCACTTATTCTTTACTTCCCACTGGTAACTAGTTTTATTAGTTTTTAAATATATTTCCAAAGTTTCTTTATGCAACATAAACATACATTCTTTTTTCCATTCGTTTCTATAATACAAAAAGCATACTAAATACACTATTCTGCCTCTTGCTTTATTCTCTTAACTTTATGTCTTGGAGCTCTTTGTATATCTGAATAGAGAGGTTGTTCTTGTTTTTTTTCCGTTGTATGGAAGATAATTCCATAATTTAATCACTTTCTTATTGATTGATAGTTGGATTGTTTCTAACTTTTTACTGTTCTAAACAACGCTGTAGTAGTAGTCTTTTGCATACATATTTCCAATATGTACTAGAATATTAATTCCCAGAAATAGGGTTATTTCTTAAGGAGTACATGCATTTGTAGTGTTGTGATACTGCTAATCACAACCAGTAATGAATATAACAATTGATATTTATACCAGTAGAATAGAAAGGTAACTTCTTACAGCTTAATCCAATAAGTGAAAAATATATTCCAATATAGTTTTAGGTTACATTTTTCTGATAAGTGATGTTGACACCTTTTCATGTGACTAAGGGCAATTTCTGGTTCTCTTTTTGTCCATTCAGATCTGTTGTTAATTTAATTTGATACTGATTTTTTTTCTTTATGTATTAGGATGTACAACTCTTCTGTGATATGAGGTGTGAATGTTCTGTTCCTTTACCCCATTTGTCATTTGTCTTTTTTTTTCCTTCACTATTTGTTTATCTGGCTAACCTCATTAATTTTTATTGTGTAAAATATTTATCATTTAATGATTTTAAGTATACAATTCAGTGGCATTAAGTATACTTAATGTGCAACCATCACCACTATTTCTGCCCTTCTTTCATTATCTCAAACAGAAATTCAATACCATTAAGAAATAATACCCTTTCTTCCCTCTCCCCACCTCAGAAATTTCTGTTCTCTACTTTCTTTATAAATTTGCCTATTTTTGACACCAAATATAAGTGGAATAATATAATGTTTGTCCTTTGTATCTGGCATATTTCACTTAAATAGTATCTTTTGACTTTGCTTATGATGTTTTTGTCATGCAGGATTTAAAAATTTTTGTGCAATTGAGTTTATCAATTGTTTATATTTTGGATTTTGAGAGACTACAAGATTATAAAGGAATTTCCTTCATTTACTTTTAATACTCTTATATTTTTATTTTTTGTATATACATCCTTCATTCATTTTTATTTTATGTGTTATATGATGCAGAATATGGATCCAATTTAGTTTCTTTGTTTTTTCACCCAAGACAAGTACTTGTTGACCTAATATTATTCATTAAAAATCCATCTTTTCTCTTGTGGTTTGAGATGCTACTTTGATCTTACTAAATTCCCATATGTACTTTGGTATCTTTTGGGATTTTTTTGTTCTGTATACCCTTATATTGGTACCACATTGTTTTGAGTTATTCTTTAAGTTTGTTTTAATGTCAGTAGTGCTAGTCTCCTCTCATAACGATTCTGAATTTTCCTATTCAACATTGTCTTCTGAAGGTTTGATAGTTTTGCTTTTCACATTTAAGTCTGTGATGTACCTATATTTGATATTGTGTAGATAGGAGGTATGAGTAAAAATACCCAGTTTGGTCTGCCAAACTTGGTGTGCATAAAGAATTTTCTACATATGTATATATGGGTCTCTAGAGTCTGGGCTCTGTCTTTTCTCTACATTAAGGCCTTTTGAACTTCATTGTTGGGGCTTTAGAAGTTTTGCCAAGGATGAGGGAGTGCTGGTGGCTTGGCTCAAGTGGTAGAGTGCCTGCCTAGCAAGCACAAAACCCTGAGTTCAAACCCCATTACCTGCCAAAGAAAAACAAAACAAAACTTTAAGAAAAAAGAAGGCTTGCCCATTGTGAGAATACATTTCCCTTTTTGTTTTTGTTCTTAACGAGTATGTGGGCTATATTATTGGCTGTCTTCATTATAACTTTAACTATTGG